TAGAGATTGTACCAATTTTTATACATATCAGTAATGTACGAGCATTTTTATCTACCACAATCACCAACATATAATTATTAATATTTTGATCTTTGCCATTCTTATGGATAAAAATTATTTTATGGTAAAGTGATATTTTGCAATTATCTTACCATATTTCATAAACTGCAGACATCGTTTGAAAGGTACACCATTATTTTATGTACCTCTCAGGAAAAGAGCTGCAAATTCATGCTTTCAAATCATCAATTGTTTTTTTTTTCTTTTTTTTAATATTATTTTTACTAATTTTATTTTCTTTCTTTCTTTTTTTTTTCTTTCAGAGAGGCAGAAAGCCTGGAACAAATCATCAATTGTTAGATGCATTAAAAAATCATTATTTCAGAAATGATTTCAGAGACATGAAGGTATAAAAAAGTGTTCCTTAGGATCAATGCAATATATTTGAATAAGGTTGTCTAGAAAAGTTTTTCTCATATATGCAAAAATCAGGAATATAGCACTCACAAACCCCTCCTACAACAAATAAAAAATAAACAAAACAAAAATATTTGAAGCCATAATCCATACAACTAAAATATAATTAAAAATAATTTATCAAATGGAAAAATGGTAAAAAGGATTAGCAATGAGCATTTAATTCTATTAAATCTAAATATGATTACTACAAATAGGCTGGGTGCGGTGGCTCATGCCTGTAATCCTAGCACTCTGGAGGTAGAGGTGGGAGGATCGCTCAAGGTCAGGAGTTCAAAACTAGCCTGAGCAAGAGCAAAACCCCATCTCTACTAAAAACAGAAAGAAATTAATTGACCAACTAAAAATATATAGAAAAAATTAGCCCAGGAGAATCTTTTAATAATACACACACACACACACACACACACACACACACACACACACAAAGACTTGTGTTCTGACTAAAGAATAATTGCAACTCAATAATAAGACAAACTCATTTTTACAGATAAATTGAGCAAACCACAAAAGATACTCATATACAGTCATGCATCATTTAACCACTTCAGTACCAGTGTCAACTATAGTCAACAGCCACAGATGAACGCACACAGCCCAGCGTCCATTGTAGTCTACAGCCACAGATGAACACACACAGCCCAGCGTCTATTGTAGTCTACAGCCACAGATAAATGCACACAGCCCAGCGTCCACTGTAGTCGACAGCCACAGATGAAAGTGCATAGCACAGCGTTGACTATAGCCAACAGCCATGATATGAAGGCGCACAGCCAAGCCTCGACTTTAGCGTTAATAACAAAACTTGACTTTTCTAATTTTTCATTTATCAAAATAAAATTATGAACATTTAAAAAAAAAGTAATGAAAACATATATGTATATGTTACCTATCCTGATTTACATTACAAGTAAAGCTGCCTGTGAAGTAAAACAAGCTTTCAGTGCTTTAAAGCTTTCCTCATAACACAAGAGCAAAACAGATCCGTCATTAATGCACAGCACAAGCTATCGTGCGGACTATGAGTGCCGGCTGTGGGCAAGGTTTCGCGGCTGGTGAGTGCCGCACCGAAGTGGTTAATGATAGGGATATGTTTTGAGAAATGTGTCATTAGGTGATTTTGTCATTGTGTGATCATAGAGTGTACTTACACAAACCTAGATGGTATAAGCCTACTACACACCTAGGCTATATGGTATAGTGGCCTATTACTCCTAAGCTACAAACCTGTACAACATGCTGATGTACTGAATAATGTAGGCAACTGTAACACAGTGGCAAGTATTTGTATGTCTAAACAAATCTAAAGATAGAAAAGGTACAGTATTACAACCTTATGGGACCACTGCCATATATGCAGTCCTTGCCATCTGTCATTGACTGAAACATTATTATGCAGCACATGACTGTATACTAATGGCCAATAAGCACATAAAAAGATATTCAACATCATTGCTCATCAGGGAAATGCAAATTAAAACCACAAAGAGATATCAGCACACACCCATTTGAATTTGCTAACAACTTGTCAATTCAAAATTTTGGCATGGATAGGGAACAACTGGAATCTTCATACATGGCCTGTGAGAATATAAAATGTTATAACCACTTGAGCAAAATTGGACAGTTTCCTATAAATACGTAGCAAACAACTCAACAAATGCACTCTTAAGTATTTACCCAAGAGAAATGAAAACATATGCCCAAAGACCTATAAATATTCTTTCCAGCTTTATTCATAATAGCCAACAATTAGAATGTCTATCAACAGATGAATAAACAATATATCATGTAATGGAATACCACTCAGCAATAAAAAAAAGAACAAACCGAGTGATTCATGAATGAGTAGGAGGCATTTTCTTACAGGGTGATGAAAAAGTTTTAAAACTAGAGAGAGCTAGTGATTTCACAACATTGTGAAAATAATAAATAACACCGAATTGTACACTTCAAACTAGTTAACTGTATGTTATATGAATTTCCCCCTTGGGGAAAAAAAAGATTATTTTTGTTTAAGAGGTGGGCATTTTGCTCTGTCACCCAGGCCAGAGTGCACTGGCACAATCATAGCTCACTGTTGCCTCAAACTGCTAGGATTAGGCCTCAGCCTCCCGAGTACCTAGGACTACAAGCACACATGCCACCATACCTGTGGAAACTTTTTATAAAAGCAAGAGCAGGCATGAATTCTCAATTCACAGTACACCACTAAACACCCAGTACAATGGCTTAAATGATAAAGACTGACAATACTAAAATTGGTGAGAATGTGAGCAACTAGAATCCTCATATATTGCTGATAAAAGTACAAAATAGTACAACTATTTTGGAAAAAGTCTGGCAGTTTCTTATAAAACTAAATATGCTTCTGGACCTAGCAATTCCATCACTAGGTATTTAAAGCTTTATGTAGGCAGAGATTTTCATCTGTTTGTGAGCAAACAGTATGGAGCACATAGTAGATGCTCAATAAATATTTACCAAATGAATGTCTATGTTTATTTTAGTATTGTAATGAAAAACTGGAAACAATCTTATTAATCAAAAGCTAAATGAACAAAAAATATAATATACTCATATAACAGAATACTATATAAAAAAACAAATATGCTAGTGACTAGAACCATCAATATCAATCAAAATAGATTTTAAAAACAATATTGAGTGCAAAAAGTATAGATATCCAATATGATATAACATTTAAAAATTTAAAACATATAATACAATATATAATTTTTAAAAAAATACAAAACACAGATAGCAACTCATGATGATAAGTAGTTGGTCAGGGATGGTAGGATTGGGTATGTAGAAAAAGAACTTGAGCTTTATTGGAAATGTTTGATTTCTTTATATATAAAAAAAACACTAGAGGCCAAGCATGGTGGCTCATGTCTATAATTCTAGCACTTTAGGAGGCTGAGGCAAGAACATAACCTCAGGAGAGGCCAGGAGTTTGAGATCAGCCTAGGCAACAGAGTGAAACTCTGTCTCTGAAAAAAAAATAGAAAAATTAGCCAGGTATGGTGGTATGTGCCTGTAGTCTCAGCTACTTGGGAGGCTGAGGCAGGAGGATGGCTTGAGACCAGGAGTCTGAGGTTACAGTGAGCTGTGATGAGGCCACTGAACTCTAGCCCAGGCAACGGAGTGAGATCCTGTCTCAAATATAAAAAACAAAAACAGTAACAAAAAAACCACAAAGAAATATGACAAAATGCTAACAGTTGTTAATATTGGCTGCTTCAAATACAGATATTGTTACATTAGTCTTTGTTTTTTTCTTATCTATTTCAACTAAATTAACCAAAAAAGAAAAAAAAAACAACCCTAGTATCATATGCAAATGAGTCAACAATGTCAAAATAATAACAAGGACATAGAAGGTGACTAACTTTTAATGGTGAATACTGGATCTGTGCAGAAGTTTGAAAATTTGACTCCAGAAAAAAGGCAAAACTTAAAGGATGAGTGAAAAATAAACAAAATGGAAAAAGGGAATAAGATATAATTAAACAACAAAATCCACTTCACATGAGGTAATCTTTCCAGTTATAGACATACTTAAAAGTCTTTCACACACCCCATCTGTCTCTGTTAAAGCATATAAAAAGAATAAAAATTTAAAGGAGGCACAGAGCATACTGAAAAAGCTAAAGTACAAAAGAAAAAATTTAAAATATAGGATGTATCACACAATAAAATCACAAAGTTTGGCAGTATAGTAGAAAACAGTATATTATCCATTTTATATTTAGTATTTTGATATTTGGTCCTAGTTCAGTAATGGGTATAAATTTTATTTTATTAATTGCTTTATAATAGACATTTATAATAAAAATGTGGCTTCCTACTTTTTCCACCAATCTCTTGTTTACAATTTTTGTCCTTTGAACTGAACTGGCTGATCTCTGAGCACACTTTTAACTCTAAAATTATAATGATTGTTCTGGCAATTATAACTACTGGTAATTAGAACAATGCCTTGCGCACATCTATTTCAGTAACTAGAGTACAATCATTTTGGACTATTAAATAAATACATAGATTTCGAATAATGCTGGTACTTAAGGAACAGATAACAAATATAAAACGATTTATACATTTGGTCATATAAAAAAACATACATACCATTAGGAGATGTTTATTTGACCCATAAATGCATAATTAACTCCTACTAAAGGATGAGGCACCTGTGGCTACTCCATAAATATTGATGTGAAGATGATTAAAGTAATACCGCCTTACAGTATGTTGCCTGAGTCAGAACCAAATAAATCCATATATACTTAGAAAAAATCCAAAACCATGGAAAAACGTTACCGTCCCACCAAGCCAGTTCACAGTGAACTACAGTCCATATTACTAATAGCTTTTATTCCCTGTGCAAGAACATCTAATTCACGGAAAACGACCCCACCCCCTCTACTGGCAAAGCCACAGCATCGCGGCTGAGCTGCCAGATGGATTACCACCCCGCCCCTGTGCCCTCTCCATCTTTCTTAGAGCATCAGGTATCTGACCTCTGGCATCAACGGGGCCGCGACCCAGATGATCCGGGTTTCTGGGAACCAGATCCGTGGGGGAGGGGGGAGCCGGGTTCAAGGCCTGGGGCAGCGGGATGTGTGTTCGGAACCCCTCGGGAGCTCGTGCACGCCGCAGTTCAGCCCAAACCGCGCACATTTACTTATGTGTTGTTTTTTTATCAATCGGTTGCCAATCAGTTTCTAAGGAAGACATTTCCATTCCAAAATAACGGTGAAACAAAAATAAGCACAACGCAGAAAGGCGATCAGCGGGCAAGCACCTGAAGGCTGTGGGCATCTGCCTCTGTGAGAGCGACCTCCACCTTCGACAGAAACCACCTATAAGCCTCAGGCCGCCGCTCCAGCTCTCAACCGGGTGAGCGTGGGCGGACGCCCCTTTCCGCCTGAGAGGACCCAGCCACGCGAAAAGCCGCCCCTTGCCGGTTCTGCCAGGGGGAGCTCGGCCTCGGGCCTTGCCCCAGAGGAAGGCCGCAGGCTGGGCCCGGGTCCCTGAGGGAGCCGAGAGGCCGGCGAGGCCCCGAGAGACCGCGTGCGCGCGCGGCCGACGCCTCAGGCAGCGCCCCCCTCCCCTCCCGGCGTCGTCATGGGAACCCAGGGTTTGGCCTCCCGCCTGGACCGCGGCCCGAGAGGAAGGGGGAGGACGGGAGGCCGCAGATGCTCACCGCGACACCGGAGGCGCGACGCGCCGGTGCTCCGCCGCCTCGGGTCACGTTCGGCCGCGTGCAGGTCCGTCCCGGCACCCGTTCCGGCCGCCGCCCGCGAGCCCCGCGCCGCCGGGCCGCTCCCGCAGCCCGTGCCCCTCCGCGCCAGTGCGTGGGGGTGTCGGCTCCCGCCGCGGGAGGCGGGAGATTTAAACCGGGCGGCCTGTCGCGCGCCGGAGCCGCGCTGCCCTCGGCACGCGAACCCGGGGACCCATTCTATCCCTCCTTTCCCGAATGCCTCTTGACTTAGTAAGAAGAAATGACAAACACCAAACGGTCAGAACATCACCATAAGGAACTGACTGTGAGCCCTCCGAGGCGTGAGTAGATGGAAGGGATCCTCGGCTCTCTTTTCTGAGCCCTGCACGCTTAGCCCGGGTCCCTCCGAGACCCGCTGCACCTGCCGGGCCCACCTGAGAGGCTCTCCGCTGTGAGCTCTCGGCATTCCTCAATCCGCCCTCCGGCGCTCCTCAGTACCAAAGCTCTGCACGTGGGAAGTGTTAACGCACTACATTTAACCGTCACTTTAAAGGTTTTTAAGAGGACTAAGTTAACAACTACTAATAATGATCTCAAATGCACATATCCATAATTTTTGTGATAAATGAGCCTTCAGGATTAAAAGATAAAATCTGAGTCTAAAACCTCAGGGGGAAAAAATGGAAATAAGGCAAAAATAAAACTATGTTACCGGTGGGAGACAAGAAGTTCAAAGTACTTTCTTTTTAAAGGTGACTCCAAAATTTCTAACAACTTTCCTAAAACTTTGCAAAATAGGAATTACAAACTATAACACAGGCTAGCAAGGAATAAAAAAGCATATACTGGAAGGGATGGCTAAAGTCTGCATGATCATGAAAAACAAAGAAGGGGTGGGGTTCTAGAATATTTATTACGAAGTACTCCCCTTAAAACCTGAAAAATATAATTTTAAAATAGGAAAAGGGGCAAGCTATTTATACTATAGAGGCTTAATCTGGATTAAAAATATTAAATATGTGTCGAGATTCATACCCTGAGACACTTGGATTTCAAGGAATGGGCAAATACCTAAAATATGCAAAATTTTGGTATGTGTCATTTTTTGAGGAAGGAATTCACAACTTTCCTGAGACTGAGTCTCAAAGTCCTGATCCTTAAAAAGGTTAAGAATTAGCATTTGGCAAACATGGGTGATTGATGCACTTCCTCAGGATATCTTTCCTGACTCTTAAGTCTGGCATTCCTCCTAAAGGGTATACTGCTTCTCTCACTCAACACCTGTACTGCAATTACCTACCTGCCTATCTTCCCCTTTAGATGCTGAGCAGCTTAAAAGCTGCTCCACCCATGCGCAAGTCCACAGCCTTGTCTCCTAGCACAGTGCCTAGTAGGAACTAGGTCCCGAGTGAATGTTTATTCCATCAGTGAGTGAACTGAAAGATGGCTAATTGACAACTGACGGATACAGTATAAAATATCTAAAAAGAACTGAACATCTTTTCCCTGGAGGAACAAACAAATAATAATAAATAACATGCATGGCAAGCAAAATGACTTTGAAAATGTCACCATGCTCTATGGTAAGTTTCTCAGGATGTTTTAGGAAATGCGTGTTCCAATGGGATGACGTTTAATTCAAGAGGATAGTAAACTAAATACCTTCTGCAGCTCAATCTGAAGCAGAGTAAGGTCCTCCAAAGAACATACCAAGAAGTCAGAAGAATGGGGGTGAGCCAAGCCTGTTGGTTTTATCCATTTAATTGGAGAAAATTACAAATAGATATACAATGTCTCTAAGCCACCATAAAATGTAACAATTACACATAATCACTTTTTCTTCACAAGTTACTAAGAAAAGTGTGCAAGCAGTGGCATAGTGTAGAAATGATGTCAGCAATGTAGAGCTACTGATATTCCTCCTGGGCAGGAATTGGGTCTTAATCGTATTTGATAAATGTTTGTGGAATGAATTAATAATTTTTCATTAGCTGTTGGATTAATGTTTAAATGGCTGGTACTAATCCTTTAACAAATGAGGCAGCACAGTAGTTAAATTTTACTATTTTACAAAACTTTTTTTTAAGAAAATGAAAGGATTTAACAGCACTAAAATACTTTTATCTGGGAGGATTTAATTTCATTTAGAAGTACACGTATTTATAGAACTGTCTTTTAACTTTCTATCAACATACAACACACTTACACTAGTATACAGTGTTTTCTTCCATTGAGGACTTCTACAAGCTAACTAGAGAACATTAGATGACTTGGAATGTGGGACTTCACAAATGAGATCCAAACCTGGATCCCAGTTTCTTTAAAAAGTAATGATCTTTACTTTTATTCTTGTATTATGAAGCAACCCTTTGGTTAATCTCCTAAATGAAATATCAGTTGTTATTAGAAAACATATTAAAAATTATTCTATTTGTACTGTTTTACTAAGGATTACAGATCTACTGAAGCTGATGTCAGTCATAGAAAAGGCTCTATTTCTTCAGAGTATTCCACTTTATCATCTATTGGATCAAGTCAGAAGAAACATTACAGGTCAGTGACAGGATATGCAGAGCTATTTTCCCAGATGCCCACACTAGTAATTACTTACATATTGCAACCTAAACATGCCCTCTCTTACTACATTTCTGTTTACCCAAGTAAGCCTAGAATGAGACAGTATTATTAAGATGATTTTTTTTTTAAATGTAAAAAATGGCAGGCCAGGCGTGATGGCTCACTCCAGTAATCCTAGCATTCTGGGAGGCTAAGGCAGGAGGATCGCTAGAGCCCAGGAGTCTGAGGTTGCAGTAGGCTATAAGGACGCCATTTCACTCTAGTCGAGGTGACAGAGCTAGACTCTGTCTCAAAGATAAACAAAAATAAAATGTGAAATGTTATAGACATATTTTTAAAAAGTATTTCCTTCCCAAGACAAACATTGAACTTAATCTGGTATTTAAAAGTCCCAGGCATGTTATACTTTCACTAACTACATATAGAATTGTTTGACATGTTTCCTAACTTTATCAGATTGTACCTAACAAAATAATTTCTCCAGGCTGGGCGCCATGGCTCATGCCTGTAATCCTAGCACTCTGGGAGGCTGAGGTGGGCGGATTGCTTGAGGCCAGGAGTCCAAAACCAGCCTGAGCAAGAGTGAGACCCCGTCTCTACTATAAATAGAAAGAGGCCACGGACCGTGGTGCACACCTGTAATCCTAGCACTCTGGGAGGCCGAGGCGGGTGGATTGCTCGAGGTCAGGAGTTCGAAACCAGCCTGAGCAAAAGCCAGACCCCGTCTCTACTAAAAATAGAAAGAAATTAATTGGCCAAGTAATTATATAGAAAAAATTAGCCGGGCATGGTGGCGCATGCCTGTAGTCCCAGCTGCTTGGGAGGCTGAAGTGAGGCAATAGGATTGCTTGAGCCCAGGAGTTTGAGGTTGCTGTGAGCTAGGCTGACGCCATGGCACTCACTCTAGCCTGGGCGACAAAGTGAAACTCTGTCTCAAAAACAAAAAAAAATCTGTCTTTGCACTGTCAACTAAAAAAAAAAGAAAAGAAAGAAATTAATTGGCCAACTAATATATATAGAAAAAATTAGCCAGTCATGGTAGCACATGCCTGTAGTCCCAGCTACTCGGGAGGCTGAGGCAGGAGGATTGCTTGAGCCCAGGAGTTTGAGGTTGCTATGAGCTAGGCTGATGCGACAGCACTCACTCTAGCCTGGGCAACAAAGCGAGACTCTGTCTCAAAATAAATAAATAAATAAATAAATTCTCTGTAGATTACTCAGAGGCATGTCTTCTAGCTCCATCATTAATTGGCTATATCCCCTCCTCATACTAGGTACCTAACCTGTCTGGATTGTGGTTTCCTTTAATAACATAAATAACATGATAATTCAATTATATGCATGAATAACAGGATAATTTCTAAAGTTCCTTTTTGCTCATATACAATACCTATTTGAAAATATAGAAATGGATCTTTAAAGTATACATTATATATTACAATAATATATTTAGTGGTATATTAAAATTGAAATAAAAGGCAAAACATACAAAGCTGAATATATTATAGTAACTTAGTACTAATAAATGACATGTAAATTTATATGTAACCTTCCTTTTATGTAGATGAAGACTCCAAACTCATTCTCTCCACTTATAAAAACATTCTTGTGCGTGACATTAAGAATTGGCAAAATAGGCTGGGCATAGTGGCTCATGTCTCTAATCCCAACACTCTCGGAGGCCGAGGCAGGGGGATCACTTGAGCCCAGGAATTCAAGATCAGTCTGAGCAACACAATGAGACTCTCATCTCTTAAATGGAAGAAAAAAAATTGGCAAAACATATACTAGTTAAGGGCTTGAGCTCTAAACTCCTGATTAATCCAAGTTTAAATCCTGCCACTGCCATTTCCTAGCTGCATGACTGTTCAAAAACTTAATCTAACATATATCTTCCTCTTAAAATGCATATAATTTAGTATCTATGGCAGAATGCTGTTTTATTCCTATTTTTATAGACACTGCAAGAAAACAATTTACTTTCTCAAATCGGCAGA